GGACTTTGTTCCTCTCTGCAGGCTGCATGGTATGAGATAGCAGCTGCCTAATTTGGGTCAAAGAGGAGAAATGCCTATTTTAAATGTAAGAGACACTCACTGAGTCTTTGGTAAGGTTGATTAAATTTATCTTAGTACATTTACAGGCATGCAGACCTGGGAGAGACTCCTCAGTCCAGTCCCAGGCTATGCCAGACAAGTGTGTTCCTATCTGCACATAAAAACAGACCAAAGTTCCTCAGAAAACTAAGATACTGAGATACTAAGATACACTGAGCAGCTTTTTTTTTTTTTTTCTAGTCTCATTCCCCTTGAGTTTTAAAACTTTTAATTTGGAGACTAAACGTATTCTTATCCACTTCAGCCCCAGTAGTTTTTGTGCCCTTTATTTCAGTAGCTCTTTACTCAGTGGGGTTTTACTGTATTTATAGCCTCCATTGCCTCTTTTTTTTTTCCCAAGACAAGAGAGGGAGATGTCAGGGGCTATGTATGGGTTTGATTTGTCTGAATCAAAGCAAAATCAAAAACCGAGCACAGCCAATTAATACATGTAGGCCTCAAGAATGGTTGGAAGAGAGGAAAGATTCATTATTGAATATCCTGACTGATTTAGTGCACTCTTACCAGAAAAAAAAAATCTTATAAACTAGCTGAAATCCTGTCTTATTCTTGCCATAAACATCTCTACTATGTCATATCTAAATATGCAAAATTATCTGTGTACATTGCCGTTCCTCAGAAATCCCACAATCTGTTGTAAGGAGAAACAACATAGAATGATGGTTGTAAAAAGTGCTGTACAAATATCATAAGTATATCAAATCCATGCTTCTTGTCTAGGAGCTTGTGAAATTTAAGAGTACATTTTCTTTTTTATCGAACAGTTGCTCAGCTTCTATATTTCTCAGCTGTTTATGTAACCGTAAAGCAAAGATTACGAAGGACAATAACCCCAGGAGACTAAGCACAACTACTATCCCACTTTAAAAACTCAGCCAGAAAATATGGTAAGATAAAATTATAGAGCTGGCTTAAACACACAAAAAGCAAGGGAATTTCCAGCCAAGCCTGAAAATCCAGCTTGACATTCCCTCTTTAACACCAGGGCTAGTAAAGAGGATGAGTGGGGCCAGAAATGCCTTATTCTCTGGGGTGCAAAACAGATTCCTAATGCAACCTTCATGCAGCTTTGGTGATTTCTTTTCCTTTCAAACCTTCTGCAGCCCAACACCCTCCTCCCCTCCTTTTTTTTCCCTTTGATATAGATGCTTACAGCTAGTCGTTTTACAAAATGTTAACAATTCATGGCCAGCTCCCCTGAGCTCAGGCCAGAAGCTGGAGAAGAGGAAGGCACCCGCAGTGGTGCCTTGCTGGGGCCCTGCTTAGTGCTTTGGTGCCCTGCTCTGCCGCTCCTGCCTCCTTGCCTCCAGCCATGCCCTCAGCCCTCGTGCGAACACCTCCCAGGCTGGGGAGATGGAAGTGGGTGGAAAGGAGCAAAACGGCTGCTTTGGGCTCGCCAGGGACCTCCCCAGTAACAAGGGAACTTGCCCCAGGCTACTCAGACCTCCTGCTCATCTTCTGCTAGCTGAAACACAGAAGCATGAACACATCTAGGGTTTCTTGAAATAACTTCTAACATCACCAACTGTAACAGATAGATAAACTGCACATTTTAAGGGAAAAGAAGTGTTTCAGCTACACGGCACTACCAGGACTCTGCAGAATAGATGTGTAACACCAGAACAATCGCTACTGAAGTTGGACAGGAGATATTTTTCCAATTTCTAGGATTTTTTTTTTCCCCTGAGAGTTCAAATGCCTTCTTGTCCCTAACAAGGACCAATCCCAGCTGTCAAAGCCTTTTGTGCAGAGAAACTCCATGCACTTACTAGAGGAGCCAACAAATGTTCAGGTGGGCAAACGCATGGCTTCTAAGAGAACACACGGCTGGGGCACTGAAATGCTGCTTTTCATGTCCAAGAGGACCTCCCTGAGCACCAAAATGTTTTACAGTGTTTTTGCAAATGCCTCCACGTCACATATGGCCCAGGCTGTATCAATAATTAAATGTACACAGCTACAGAGCCTGCTGCCTGGTCCCTTGTGTTCTAGCTGAATGCCCTCACCGCATGGCTATTGAGTCAGTCTCTCTTGCTTTATTTGGCTTGGTTCAATTATTTATACAAAATGAAACTGCTTTAGAAGCTTAACAGCCTCTAAAATCTTCAGAAAGACTAAAATGCATTGAAAAGTTGCTGGTCAGCACCTTCCCTTGGGCTGGGGACAGTTCAAAGCTCTCCTCCCAGCAGCGTTGGCCTCCTTAGGCAAAATGAAGCATCCTCAACAGGTGACCCTGGGATCTCTGCAGGATCCTGCTTGAATCTGAAAAGCTTAATCACTATGGGCATTGGTTGCGTCCTCCGTGTATGTCAGTTTAGGATGACATTTAAATTCTCAAAAAAAAAAAAGGGGGGGGGGGGGGGAGGGGGAAGTTTGCAAGCTCTTGATATGCAACTGCCTTTTCCTCTCCATGTTTGGATACTAAGCAGCAGTGTTTTCCACACCCCGTCAGCTCTAACCTTAGTGTTAGCATGGAAAAAGCAGTTTCAAGTTCCAGCTGTGAACCAAATAAGCCTTAGTAGGGACTTACAACTGAATGTCTCACCCTCTAGCAATTAATCTCCACGGAGACAAAGATTTCTCTTATCTGCAAGTTTGATCAACATTTCTGTCCTTTTTTAGTCTTTTTTAATCTAAGATTAAGTGCATCATAGAAGATAACCTCAGAAAGTTAGCCTATCACTGAAGAGCAACCCATGCCTTTACAAGAAATGTGTAAAGGTGCAAACTTAAGAAGTCTCAAAAACCTGCACTAGTTTATGCAGCTCTCTAGGAATGTAGAGAGCTCCTCATCCTTCAATGCAAGAATACTTCATTAAAAGTACGTACACTTTAAATACATCTGCAATCACAAAGCTTTTTGTATAATTACACTTCTAAAAATACAAATGACTAAGAAAAAAAAAAAAGGACTGACATTCCTGCATAGTTTCAAACCCAAACAATTATCATTTTTGGATTCTTCTATATGATGCTGAAAGCAGGACTGCTCCACAGAAATGCTGGCAAGGCCTTATCGCTCAGAAATTAACTGTAAAGTCCTAGAGCCTTTAATAGGAATGTTGCAGCACAAGTTTTAAGCCAATCTTTTGAATTCTGCATAAGTGATGTAACCTGGTTAAATTGCAAGGAAGTTATTTTAAAAATGTATTTAAGAACTATTCTCATCAGTTACAGGCAGTTATGACAATTATTTCTAAGGGTTCCTATTTGATTCTTACCTTTCTAAGTTGTTCTGAAACTTTCCATGTGGGAATATATTGTAACTCTGTTTCAAGCCTAAAATCAGCTTCATGCTGCATTATGGTAAATGCTTTTTTTCTACTTTTATGATGTGTATAGAGGATACTTTAGGGAGCTTGAGGTCTGTAAGCTCCTTTGGTGTGACTGCCTTCTCTTCCCCATTCTGAGCACGTGGAACAGTTGTGCTTTCCATATCTCATCAGATGGTACCTTGGTGCCAATTTGCGAAAAGTGGATCTTACATTTAGCACCGAGAGAGTGATAAATGAACCTGCATGAGGCACTTTCAGCGCCTGAGGAGAGGGGTTGTGCACCGTGGCTGTGCTCTCCCACGGCACCAATCCTCCCGGCACAGCCGCCTCTGTGCAAAGCTGCAGCAAAAATACACATTTTACTTGCATGATTGGGCTTTATTTCATCCTATTGTAATGAAAACGGGTATTGTGTGATCTTTAGCCTACTATTAGTCTACCAAGATGGACAGATATGTCTGTAACCCATGTAATCTAACATCTCCGGGAGTCCAAGTAGTGTGTCTGTTATTATATTAAATAAATCAATGAAGAATATTTCTAGTTTACAGAGCAACTCCAGACTGCAGAACTGAAATGTAATGGACCTAAATCCGTCCTCCCAGTAGTTCAGTTTGACAAAACTGAATTTGATGGGACAAGAGTCGGATTCATGCAGCATGCTATAATAAAATACATATACATCTCAATATACAGGTATAGATATGTTTATCCACCATATCCCGTATACATATACCCCATACATAAATATATCATATGCATATATTGTTTATCCTAAGTGTAACAGTACTTTTTAACTTCAGTTACAAATCAGAGATTGGTTGTTTTATGGATCATGTATACAGTTAATATGATAACCAAAATGACACTAAATGTTCCCGACTGTAGCTAATAAGAAGCTATGCTGTTAAGAGATAGTCTGCTATTACACCTCCAAAATTTACATCAACAATTTGCACTGAATTGCAAAACCACATAAAAAAAACCCTGGACCTCAGCACAGATGTAAATATTGTGGCTAGAAGAGAAAAATATCTAAGCGTAAAATATTTTGTGATTTCAGAAACAGGAGTGCAAGTCTGACAGATGCAAGAAACATGTACAGCAAAAGTTGCTTGCCAAATCTTTATAAAAATTAAAATATAAATTAACTCAAAAGAATTACATTTACTTTGCTATCACTGGATCACTGAAACCAGATGTCAGCTTTTTCAAATGATATTCATTTCCAAGAATGTTTGTATGCTTATACAGCTAAAATCCAGCCTAAAACTACTTACAGTGGTGAAATTTTCAGTAGAACTTGGATAAAGTGCCCAAATGTATTTTAAAGTGTTTTCATAAAAATACAATCTAAACATGAACCTAAAACCAGGTGTGCATCAAAATTATTCCCCTCACCGCACACATACAAGCAAGCAGCTACTGAGCTGATTAGTTATATGCAAACAATAATGTAAGTTATTGTGCCTTGAATTTCAAAATATTCAATTCTGCTCCAAATAAAAGATGATGGTGCATGTCCCAGATGGCAAAGGAACAAACCTGAGTGCTAATCGTTAATGGCCACGTGAATGTATCCAGATAAATGTACACTTTACATACCATTGAGCCACCGGGAGTCATGCTGCTCTGTTCGGATGGGATGGTGATGCCCCAACGTTCGGAAAATGGCAAAGTCTCTGCCCATGAAGTCCGCTGCGGTCCCGGAATACAATTCACCATCTGTGGGATGACACAATTGTCAACAGTATTTCTCAATTCTCAAATCATGATAGGTCAGCGATGTATACTAATAATAATAATGTGAAAATTGCAAGAGTGAAGTAATAAACCATATACAATGTAAGCTTAACTCTGACCTCTTTCAAGTGAGCTGTACATACCAAAGTGCAGCTTTTTAAGGCAATATGCTTAGATTCTTAGCCTGGATTGGTGATAGCCTGTACCATGATCCTGGCATACAGCAGGATGTGGCCCTAAAAACATGCCTAGTTTGGACATGAGAGACATGGGGACTTCAAGATATTCTTTCCTCAATTTCGCTGTGGTTCTGTGTTGGGAAGAGGAGAATTCAGTGCATTCATCCTCAGTTTAGAAAGCCATTGAGCCCCTCAAATTGTTCATAGAGAAACTGGTTGGTTGATGGGTTTTTGTTTTTTGGGATATTTTTCCTGTATTTACAGGGAAATCCTGTGATGATAGCATCTTCTACAGGGAAGACAGATGATGCCTTTTTCTTTCTGTCACCTTTATAACTGCAAGACTGTCAAAGAAAGACAAGGAGTGAACAAATGAGATCATCTTCTGACACCTCAACCCCACACATATCACAGTGAACAAGTGAATTAAAATTGACCTATAGCCTCAACCCATAAATGGCAAATACACAGCCTCACTGGAGATGAAACTTATATGAGAGTCTCTGTGTGCTCCTCCTGAACTAGCTAGAAGAATTACAGAGGAAGATAGAAGTAACATAAATTGAAAAGACCAGGTCAAGTTAAATATGAATAGGAGAAAAACTAGATAGTAATCAGATCTACAGAAAACATCCAGGGATCAAAGTATAGCACATATTTTGGGGGGATTTAATGCAGAGCTTGTTCATGAAGCTAATCTGAATTGAAAGTGCTAAAACCTATTTTTAAAATTGTGCATTTTCATGTCTGTATATGAGATGAACTACCTTATGCTGTCCCTTTAATATAGAACTAAAAGAAAATATATCCTTCCAACTGCTGCTTTTGAGCATCTCATCTTAAGAGATCCTTATCCTATGGAAAAGATAAGTTTGAGGATGAAACAAATGTTTCTTTAAGTTAAAGTAATAAATTTCTCATGGTCATGATGAACTCTACCATATCCTCATTTTAAAACACCCTTTAGAAACAAGTGTATGATTTTCACAGCAATTTTAGATATTTCCATGGTGAGACAACCTCGTCCAAGAAAGCCCATTGAATATCACTGGGATCTTTTTCCCAAGAACACTGACAGCATGAAATTATCAACTGAACATACAGTAGCTCTGTACCATATGGTAGTCATGGAAGTCAGGAAGGGTGAAAACATGATAGCAGAAAGGCGTGGAATTGAACGAATTCACGGCAGAGATTAGAAGCAAATAGACCAGTCATGCCCGGCAGGAGGTGTAATCAGAAGTGAAACAGAACAGCATATCATTAATTAATGATTTATCATTGCTCTATGTCATTTTCAACTTTTTTAGAGGGGAGACAATCACTTAATTATAGTGATTATTATGTATAGTGTAGCTGCACAGCTGAGATTTTAGAGAACAGAAAACCTTTTTCCCTGTGAAAGTGGCTTTGAAGCTATGCTTAACCTTTCTTTAACCTTATTCTCATTTTCTTGTCTTCTACACCCCACTGAGTTAGGATAAATCAATATAAATCAAAAGTGTATGGCAGGAGGAACCAACAAGCCTTGTTTTTATTCTTGGTTATCAACAGATGGAAAGGTCAATGAAGAAAAAAAAATATCTTTAATGCTACATTATTAAAATAGCTCAATAATTCATTGAAACTACCTATCTGTAAAGTTTTGAAACTTGGGGGGTTAGGCACATCAGCTTCTAGCTCAATGTACAGACACCATTGAAATTAATGGGTCTTCTGGGTTTGACTCAGTTCATTCCAAAACCATTTCATACTGCTGTGCTCTTGTTCTGGCTTGTACTTCTTTTTTTAGTGGTGATAGACAGCATAAGAGTTTTATCAATAATGGTTTTCTCTGTGTGTTCCAAAGGAAGAAAGAGCTGTAGGAAACCAGCTGCCCTTTCTTTATTTTCTACAACAGCTCCTCTAAGTTTCAATACAGTTAGCCTATCAATACGCTTAGCCTACAGCTTGAATGGATTTGCTTTGATTTCCAGCAGGCGATTCAAAATCCACTGAAGTCAGTGGATTTCAGATACAATCTCTAAAACGGGGAAAGTGGGATAAGTAGCCCCCCATGCACCAACGCTGTAGATTAGCCCTTTGGTGTTTTAAATGTGTTCTCATAGCTGCAGCCCTACCCTTTCTCATTCTCAGCAGGATCAGAAGTGTGGTACTACAGTCATGCAAAAAAGGGATTTGCGCTTAGATAGAAATGACAAAAAATATCATTTCTTTTTTTGTGAGATTTGGAGAGATTATTGCCAAATTAAGGGTGAGCTTCAAATGCATTCCTTGATGCAGGACTATCAGAATTTTGCTTTCTCTCTGGTTAGAAGTAAGATTCTTTTTTTTTTTTTTTTTTTTTTTAATTCCCTATGAAGACCTTTTGGACACTCACTGATCTAGAAAATGCTTCTTTTGCACCATTATGTTGGTTGATAGCAGTTTAAAGGCAGTTTTCGTTAGTTTTAGGAATGAAGTGGAAATTAACAAAACACAAACTGACAAACTTCTAAAATAAAAGACTAAATAAAAGGAAATACTTTCTTTTGTACTTCAAGTCCAAGAGTGTAAGGCAAGGACTATGACTTTCTGTTCAGAGCAGGCTCATGGGTTGCTAATGTTTTCCTAGGAAGAACCTCAGAAAATGTTTTGAACAAAAACAATTAAAGATTTAGCATGCTGACACATGGAACACATACATTGACTTCACTAAATAAAGAAGTGACAACAAAAGCCTGTATATACTCTCCATTTGGAAAGAAACCATTTGTTCTCACATACTGAATGGGAGCAGCACAATACTATAAGACCATTCCCTCAGTATCTCCCAGTCACATTAGGTAGGATGATGTTAAAGAATATATTTATTTTATCAATTGTTTATATTTGGTTCTTAAAGAAAACAGCATTATATATATATACATATATATAAAAATATACATAGAAGTGTCAGCTTCCTTTTTGAAAGCAACAAGAAAGTTCAAAAGATGAATAATACAGGTAAAAATGAGCCTTGAATTTTCTCTCTTTTCCCCCCCACCCCCGGGTAGCAGAGCTCCCAAACAATATCTGATTCCCTTGAGTAACAGGTTTATTCATATCACTGAAGTTAAGGTTTTCGGAAAAACTTCATGATGGTCTGACTTCACTCACATTGTATGTAACTTAGTAGCTAATTTGGAGAAGAGTAGATGAGGAGAGAAATATTCTTCCTTGGTTAAGAAGCCATCATCCTTCGGATCACATTCAGATTAATCTCTATTTTGGAGTATTAAGGTACCTAAGCTGATGCAAAAATATTTTAAAATGTATGTAAAAGAAAGGAGTGAGACACAGCATAAATAGCTTTGAGGACACCGTATTATCAGAGCTTTTGAAAATCCTAAAGTGGGAATTCCTAAAGAGCATCTGATTGATAATAGAACAAGGGATATCTCGTTCTCTGAGTTTTCTTCAACTATACAGATATATTAACGTAAAGCAATTGTATTTCAGAGACTATTTTCTCCAGTGACTACTTTCTTTGAAAACTCTGCTGCCTCTCATTTTCCTCCTGCCCTGTAATACTTGCTAGTAGGGCCCAGGGATTAGATACTGTCTACCTTTTAATGCATTAGCCCACTTGAATGGAGACTGTTTAGTTAGGAACATATAGAATGGGAATGGATTAATAATGTCTTATGTTATTAAGAACTGGTTATATCACGTTCCCAGCTGGCGTTTACTTAAGAATAGAGAAGCAATAACTACCTTTAATGAACAACTCTTAAAAAATAATGAAAAATGTTTGCAGGTGGATGAAACAAGGAATACATCATGGAAAAAATATTGGAACAATTTAATAATGCTGAACTGTTTGTTTAGGGTTTTTTCAAATATTGAATTTTATAAGGAGGCAGGGAAAACTGATTTTTTTTTGACCTCTTATAAGAGTTTTTTTTCAATTGAAATACAAAATAAGAACCCTGAGTACAAATGACTTTTAAAAAAATCTTAGATTACTTTTTGCAGATTACCCTTGGTGTTTTGCCTGAATTCCAACTTGGGTAATTGTATTTCACTTACCTAAGATTTACCTTTTGGCTATTGAGTCAAAAATATTCTCTTCTCTACTTTGTAAACTCTCTGTTTAGTATTTCTTGCAAAGAGTAGAGGCTATTTCCCCACCCTGTACACAAAACACTCTTATTTCTCAGCCTTCTCTTATCTTCTTTAGAGGTATGTTGTGCTGCAACTATAATGCTGCAGTTTAATGAATGTGAGATTATCAATTTACACCTTCATCCGATGAACCTGGGATGATCCCAGGTTGCTCTTGACTACAAATATTTCTGGCAGGTGAAGGGCCAGGTGTATTAGAGCTGTCACTCAGCTCTAAAGAAGGGAAGTAGTAGGTTAGCTTTTCTCTTCCTAAAGCAACCCATTTTGATGAAGCATTTGTGGTCAAGGGGCCTGTCTTCCAACTGTGGTCTCATGCCCTGTTTCAGCCCCCCTGATACCTACTGCAGGATCCAACTGGACCAACCCTTTCCATACAGCCATTGCTTGGCCAGTTTGTTCTTCTTTCTTCTCCATTTCCCCAGGTGAAGTCCACCTACTCTGGTACAGGAAATTATTTTACTTTGGGTCAACATAGTCCCATTAAATTTGTGTTTTTGGCAAACACAGAATAAGCCACAGTGAATCAGTGGTGAATTTGGCATACACTTTCTTAAATTTCAAGGGACGCTCTGTGGCAAAGGATTTAAATAAATGTAGCACTATAATTAATCAGTATCACAATATGTCTGTAAGGTAGTTGTGAGAAGGTTGAGAAGAGAGGGTGTTTGTTTTTGAGGATAGAGGAATGTTAGTTTTAGCTTTGTCCTGCATTTAGATCAGTGACTGAAGTTAAAAGTTAGTCACTGCCTTTGAATAAGTTCTAATAAACTCATAGCTCTATCTGAATCCTGACTCACAGCAAAATATGATGCTTTGTCTACTGTTTATTAGGAGGAAAAACACATGGATTGAAAATGATAGTGAAAGGGAGTGGGCTCATGAAAACAAAGATGTTTTAAAGACATGAAATCCAAGCCAAGGGAAATAAGATAATCATATTTGTGCAGGACTGAGTTAAAAAAAAAAGAAAAAGAAAAAGGAATGTGAAAAGCTAGACGCTGTTGACTTTATGCAGTTACATACCGGGTATACCATGTAATACTGGATTGTCATCATTCTCTTTCTTTATTGTATATTAAAGTAAATAGTCAAGTCATTCCCTTGAGAGCAGCTCTGCCACAAATTTAAGTTGCTCTAGGCACTAATTTATATACTGGCCTTTTACATACTCATTTCTTTTCTTTGCTGTTTTTACAGGGTGCAAGTTGGAGCAAGAGGAGGATGATTTTTTCTTTCTTAAAAAGTGCATTTCCTCAGGCTAGCTCCTCACCTGTCATCATTAGAGGTTTCGAAGAACAGGAAATGAGGCACACTCAAGACTAAATTCTTGTCTATCTCTTCTAAATATCTTATCCTTAAATGCAATGTAAATACAATACAGAGAGTTGCTAGGCTAGGCCCTTCAGGAAGAATATGGGTAAAGGCCTGCAGAAAACAAGATATCTAGTTATAAATCATTTCCCAGAGACTTACTCTACATGAGAACCTGTAGACTTCTGAAATTACTTTTGTCCTCTTGGATTTGAAACCATAATTAATTGCCAGAAAAATTGCATGTTGAGGGTAGAGTGGCTACATAAGGGCAATGTTGTTTTACAAGTTAGAAGAAGAATCTATTTTTTTTTTTTTTTCACTCTTAATCTCTTCTCACAAAGCATCTTCTACCTTTTTTTTTTTAATGGAAAAGGGAAGGTCAATCAACACAATTAATTCAATTAAATTGGTTAAATCAATTAGATCAATTAGATTAGTTCAATTAGGCTAACGCAATCCAGGTGCTCTTATATATTCATCTTCCATTAAATAAGCTATTACCAATTCAAAAATACTTAATTTATTGAAATACCTCAATCTGGACAGGTTTCTCTCTTAGATTAGCTCAGTGTAAGACAGATCTCTTCAGTTGGAATATCATGATCTTAGAGCCTGGACTTGTAAACATTTGCATACATCCAACTCACATGAGGCTATGATTCAGTGATATGCTTTCCCT